AGGCAGCTCTGTAGGAGACCCTATTCAATATCAGCTTCATGTTCTATAGACTTAAGAAAGACTTTGGGGAAATCAATGTTTGTAAAAGTCCAGGCATAGTTGCTTTGTGTGTTGTGATAGGTAAGAGACGTGAAGTTCAGGATCAAGGTCCCTTACCACCTCTATATTAGTTTAGACCACGTCCTGAAACTTGAGCGCTGCGGGGAGAAAGTGTCACTTTTAGTTCTGCTCCTTGTGATACTAGACTCTACATAGTGATAAAGAACCACAAGCAAGAAAAGCAACACACCTAGCATGTTGGCAGATATGACAGGCTGCACGTTCCTGCACATCCATGAGCATCCTTACCAGCTCCACTTAGCTCTGCACTCCCAGACCCTCTTTTATTTTGAAATATGGTGTCACATAACCTAGTATGACTTCAAACTTGCTATCCCAAGGATGGTCTTGAATTTCTAAACCTCTGCCTCTGCCTCCTGAATGCTGGGATTACAGGTATGACTGTTAAGGTGTCCAGTTTTATCCTATACTGGGTTGATTAAACCTTGTGCTTCATGCATGCTTCATGAAGCCTACCAACTGAATTACAGCTTAGCTCCCTAGAACCTATTTTAGTCACATATAAAACTCCGGTCCTTTTAGTTTACTGATGTTACAGATAATATTTTTATAGATTATGTTTCTACTAACAGACATACAGGTTTTAATGCTTTTGTCATTTAAATCTTACAGAAAGTATAAAATTAAGTTTTGAATCAAAATTGTAGTAGTGCCATTTCTTGTATTTGCTTGTGTATTTACCTTTACCGAAAACCTTTACATTGTCAAATGCCTTTGAGCTGATTGCTTATCATACTTTCATCTGAAGGACTCTTGTTAGCATTTCTTATAGGACAGCCCTACTACTCTTTGTTTATTTAGGAATAGTTTAAGGCCAGTTTGGTCAGGTATGGGATTTTTGTTGTTGTTGATTTTAAAAACAGATCTAACTTGGTAGTTCTTACCAGCCTGGGACTTGATTGGAACACACCGAGATCTGCTTGCTTCTACTTCCTAAGTGCTAGGGGGTTGCAGGTATGTGTTTGCCATGCCTGGCAGGTACAGAATCCTTAATTGACAGGTTTCTTTTTTTTTTCCAGCAGTTTAAATGTGTCTGTGTATTTCCTTCCTTCCGTCTCTCCCATCCCTGCCTGCGTCTTAAGTGCTGTACCACTGAGCACCAGCTCCAGCTCCACTCCTTAGATGGGTTTTCTACTCTTGTCTTGTAACCATAAGTCCTTTTTACAGGTTGAAAAAGTATTTCATCGACATTAAGTACAACTAACACTTAGACTCAAAGCCTATATCTTCTGTCGTGTGTATTTTGTCGTCCTAACTGAAGATAATGATATTAACATTCACACATAAAGAGTAAGACTTGGCCTCTGTCAGAAAGACAGTTTCATAGCAGCCTGGATTAGACTCCAGGTCTCCTGAGTTTTGTTTTTCTTACTCTAAAATTCAGGCACCTCACTGAAGATTATTTATTGAAGTAGCGTAGCTCCCTTTACTTGTAATAGAAATTAGTAGTTAAGTTTTGTGATATTAGCATTTTTAAATTTAGATTGCACCTTAAGGAGTTTTACAAGAGATATCATGACTGAAAAAAATAGTTTTGTGAGTTTTTACAAGCTTTCTAGTTTCTAATGATTTTTAGTTTTAGAAAGTGATGGATGCTATGTTCAGAAAAATGACAATAAATATGTATCTGGGAAGGATGTGGAAAGTGATTTAATCCTGTCTGTGATACTTTTGGCATCATATCAACATTAAGACAAATGGTTTCCTCTATCCTTCCTATAAACTGAGCCTGGCAAAATAGAAATAAATTGTTGCCTCAGGTTTTCTTAACCTGACTGCCCTTGCATTGAACCATTTCATGTTAAGTTTCTACACTTACCCACTGTGAACGTCTAAAAGCCTAGCTTGAGCCTTACTTCCTTGATGGGTCCAATGTGAAGGCACGCAGAATCAAAACCGCTAGCCTCTCAAATGCCAGGAGTTCCATCCTTTCCTGTCTGTGGATCTCAGTACATGCAAGCATGTGGGAGTGGATAGAACAGAGGGATAGTCTAATTGAAGGATGAGTTGGATAATTTATTTCCCCTTTTCTGGAAATTACTTTTTATTTTTCATATAATATATATTGGGAAGCTGAATATATCACTTTTAATTGTGATATAGAGCCTTCAATAGTTTTTAAAGTATGTTAAGAATGCTTTGAGGACTGAGGAGGTGGCTTATCAGTTAATATGGGAGCATATATAAGGGGGCATCGTTAATGATGGGTAGGTATAGTGGTCTGCCTGTAATCTCCATATGAGAGGCAGACTAGCCAAATCTTCAAGTTCTAGGTGCGAGTGAGAGACTGCCACAATGTACATAAGGAGGGAGAGTGATCAGGGAAGATATGTCTACCTTGCTCCCCACATGCGTACATGTCTTCCTGTTCATATACAAAGGAACACACACGTATACATGCATAAAATAATATAAAAGTACACTAAAATGTATGTGGGGTTGTTGTTTTTTCCAAATGAGTATCTCTGTGTATCTCTGGCTGGCCTCTAACTCAGAGATCCACCTGCCTCTGCCTCCCAAGTGATGAGATTAAAGGTATGTGCCACCAGCACAACCTGGCAGCACATAAAAATTTTAAAGGTGTTTTGTATTGGTTATTTATATATGATTTTTTTTACGAAAGGAAAAATGTAAGAAATACAGCCAGTCAATTTTCAAGCATCTAAATGTATGTTTAAATGTTTTTAAAATAAGAGTGTAGTTAGAGTTTAGGAGCTATTTCAAGACAAAAAAAATAACAATTTGGCGTTTCTGAAATTATAATCTAAATTAATTTTTATACATTGTCTGGCTAGTGCGTTATGGTACTTAGTTTTGACCATAAGAGAAATTATTAAAGGAACCAGAATATTACTTAGATAAACATGAATTAGAAGTTAAATTTTATTGATCTCTGAACTAATTTGTAAAGATTCTCTTATTTTGGAGATTGGAGTCAGCATACGTTTAAAGATATTTCTATTGCTTCTCCCTTCCCAATACCTTAAAAATATTAGCAGCAGTTTGTACTCTTAAATCATCCTCCATTTTATTCAAACGTAGATACTTGCTGGTAAAAGCCCAAATCTTGCTGCTCTCTCTTCATTTTTCACCAAGTGAGCTTCCTGTCTCCTGTCTCCACTACTTTAAGTTGGCTCACTGCCTTCTTACAGCTCTATTTTCCTTGTGCACATTCTATCTTCTCAACAGGCACTGTGAGTAACAGGAGTTAACAGCAGCGTAGGGAGGATTGAGCAGACACTGTCAGAAACAAGAGTTAAAAGAGCAGCAGAAAGAATTTAAATGATGCACATTCACATTCGAGACTGCAGTGGCAATCTCCGATACTGTATAATGTTTTCTATTTTTGTTATCTGCTGTCTGAAATGGAGCTGAAGTGTTACTGACCTTGTGTGGAATGTCTCTGAGGATTTGGGAGATAGAGCTGGGTGGGGGGAGCGCTAGATTTTCATGTGACTTATCTCTGTCATACTGCAGCAGGACTGAAAACACTCATCTGCTCACATAAGGAGGGAAAAAAATTACAAGATTGAGCTACCAGAATTTGTGCTGTCTTTTCAGATTTTTCTCCCTTGTAATTTTCTATTTTACAATTTCACCTAATTTGATAAAGGTTAGAGGTGGGGGGTGGCCTTTTCATACAGTGAGGGTTGGAAGGAAGACTGCAACAATGATTCTAATGGTGAGGGACTGTTTAAAATCCCCACAAAATTGTGACCCACATTGCAACCCTTCTGACAAACGGTTAGTGAGCTCCCTGGCCATCTCAAGTACTTGAAAGTAACAGTATACAAATAATAGCTTTATTCGAGTTCCTTTTTTCTTTCATACAAATCTTAAGATCATTGTACCTACGTATCCACAACAGCTGATTTAGTGCTGCATTTCAGATCCTCACTTTAACAAGAAGACATACACAAATAAGGCATGTAGTTTCTTCCTTATGTATTTGGTATAATTTCCTCACTTTCTTTTATGACAGAGTTAAATGAAATCTGAGGTTTCATTTAGGTTCTGTTAGCTACTGAGTTATGTTAGTTATTTGAAACATGATAATGACCCGGTAAGGTGTAACTGCCATACTAGGCTTCTTAAATGCTGTCTTCCCCTCTCCATATTGCCTTCTTCTCCCCCACCCCATGTATTGCTGGAGAATGCTGTGGCATTTTAACCTCTCATTCTATAGAAAATAAGAGTACATGTGAGTGGTTTTAGTAAACATGGGAAGTTAAACTTGTTATAGGAAAAGAAATGGCTTTATTTTATAATTTAAATCTTAAGTTTTTTGAGATACATTTATATGATTCCAGCTCTGTTTAAAAAAAAAACAAAAACAGGAATTTGGGATGATACTTCAAAGAAGAGCCTTGTAAGTTTGATTTGAGGGGAAAACATAATGCTTTTGTGTTTTTAAATATAATGTATATGATTTTGTTTTCTGACCAATTGGGTTTCATAGATAGTCCCAAAAAATCTTTTTGGAGTAAATGTGATATATTATACAGCATGCTACCTGTATATTATCAATCTTTTTCATTTTTCTATGTTATTGCATTCTAAAATTGATGCACACTGGTGATTTAAGGAAAATTAATACACAAATGCCTCTTTTTCTTAATATTGCTCACTGTTTCTCTCAGCCATTCTTATTTAATAGGACAGTGGTTGTTAAGGGTTAAGCATACAGAGCTGATGCAACTCCTCCTTTTCTTCACCAGCAGTTTTCATTGGACAGTATCACCATAGCAACAGTGACATCAGTGAAACCTGAGTGTTCTATTGATTAGTTTCTGCTTCTTCCTTTTTTAATCTGTCCTTTTTTCACCACATTTTAGTGAGGAAGCATTTTTTTTTTACAAATAGAGCTTATATTGATTTCTATTCCATAAATAATTTAAAGAGGGTAGAAAATTCTGCCCTTCATTTAAAAATTGAATGTTTCAACATGTATTTAAAAAGCGATTCAGGCTTAGGAGGATGGATAGCCATACCAGCTGTAGCTGATGTTCTCAGATATTCTTGCATTGTTTGCTGGTCTTCTAGGGAAAAGAACAATGTGGAACAGGACCTTAAAGAGAAGGAAGACACAGTTAAGCAGAGGACAAGTGAGGTTCAGGTAAGTGAGCTATTTTGCCCCATTTCTAATGTAGGGATATTCATTGTAAATGTATTTTCTATTTGATGGGTATGATATTAGGTCCAAGGAATATATAATATTTGTATGACATAAATGTTTCTTTTTTAAATGATGATTGTTGCTCTGAATTCTGGCCTTTAAAAATTATACTGCAATGAGAAAACAGTTTCTTTAAGCATATGTTTATAAATTTAAAAATATTTTAATGATATTTACCTATATATTATTCAATAAAGATAACTTTGAATGACTTGATATAAATAATATTACACCAATAAAATTAAATTGGAACATCATCAAAAACCAAATTGCTTTTTCATGCATGTAAGGTTTTTTTTCAGCTGAGAGACCTACTATTTTCAAGAGTGTTTCTCATGTCACTGTTAGAATGGGAAATGATAGAGAGCAATTTAAAATAACATCTTATGAATTGCTTTATAGCTAAAATACCTGAAACTTTTTCATAAAGAAAATTAATTCATTTTTGCTGTTGTATTAGTAATTATATTTTATAAATAGAGGCGATAATAAACCTGTTTCTATTTGACAAATGTAACAGTATTGAGCAGTGTTTCATGTGGCCATGTTTCTGGGGTGCATTTTCTGAGTGCTGTATGTGTGGGCACTGGTAGCAGCTGCCAACAGGAGCTCATGGATGGGCATTTCCTAATATGTTAACTTATGTGTTAGATTTTTCTACTTGTACTTTTAAACAGGTAGAAACTGGGGTTTGCTAAGTCGTTATTTTGTTTTGATAGAGGAAATCCATGCTAGGGTGGGGAAGATGATTCACTAAAGGATTGAGAAAGCCAGGGAGACTTGTGGTTGGTAGTTGACTCTGATTGGATGACTGCATTAATTATATTTTTTGGAATTTTCCTAAAAGTGGTATGAAAGTCAGATTTATTGCCAACATTTCTCTTTCTGCTATTAATAATGGGTGTGGGCTGGTAAGCTGCTTGAGTTTCATTGTTTTGTGTAAGCCTCTTGAAAAAATGCCAACAGTAAAATTTATTGCTGGACACAGCTTGGGAACAGAAGATAAAAATCTACAAAGTGTTTTTTAATATGAAATAGATATAATCACTGGTATAGTCATAGACAACCTCTATATTTAACCAGCTGCTATCCTAAAATACACAAGTTCTTACCATAGATAATATTTTGTTATTATATTTGTAGGGAAAAACAAACAGGATGGACATTTAAATAGCCAGTTTAGGAAAGATCTAAAATTTATATTGGTCCTTCAATATCCTCAAATATTTATAGTTATAGAGTTTTATTGCTAAAATTTTTCCATAATGTTCTTGCTCATCTTCCTTAATGGTGTTAGTAGAATATCACTAAACTTTGTGATATCCAAAATGTATGATTAACACATGAAATCTGACTGGCTTCTGCATAGGGTACTTCTAATATGAGGCATCTCAGAGCTTGCTTAGTGTAGAACAAGTAGTGATGGATGAAATTAAATTCACCGAAAAGTAACACTGAGATTAATGAAGTTCTGGGTTAGTAGAGTCATCTCTGTATTACCAATGGTAATGAGATGCTAGACCCAGACAGTGGAATTCATTCCTACTGAATTAGCTCTGACTTACCCTGTCATAACGAGGTGCAGACTAGAAGCAACACTGACAATTAAAATCTGTCATTCCATCTTTCAGCACTTTCTTTTCTTTTTTTCCTTTTTGAAGCAGAGTTTCGTATAACTCAGACTGACATTGAGCTCATTGTATAATTGAGGATGACCCAGACCTGATTTTCTTGCTTTCACCTCCCAAATACAGAGATTACAAATGTGCACCACCATGAACTGCTTTCAATATTACTTTTCTGGTTTTTCTGGTTTTACTAGAGCTATTTCAAATAGCAGAATCTCAGAATGTATACTTGGCTACTTCTTGACTCTACTTTCTAAAGGAGGTTCTAATGAGAAATGGAAGTAAAGACATTTTCGTCTATTGTTGAGTGTCCTACCTTGTCTCTTTTGAGTGTTGATGTTTCTCCAGCTAATAAAGTAACATGATTACATAACTCAATTCATAAGCATAGAAATTGAAGTTTTAAAACCAAAAGCTTAAGATTTTACTTAGTTTTATTTTATGAATGTTCTGCCTGCAAGTATGTATGTGCGCCATGTAACACCTGGTGTCTGCAGAGAGCAGGAGGGGTGCCTAATCCCTCGAACTTGAGTTATAGGCAGTTGTAAGCCACTATGTGGATGCTAGGAAATGAACCTAGATCCTCTGCAAGAACAGTAAGTGCTCTTAACTGCTGAGCCATCTTTCTAACCCCACCTTGAGTTTTTTCGTTGGTCTTATTTTTGTTTTTGTATTGATGCTGGTGATTGACCTCAAGGCCTCATGCATATTAAACACATGTCTCCTCACTGGGCTGTGCTCCATCCAAGTTTTTGGTTTGTGTTTATATATGCTCACTACTTTAAAGTAGAATATTGATTTTCTAGGTTTTTCTTTCTTGTGTGATCTATGAGCTCACACCTTGAAATATTTTATTTCTTTTCTTCTCTATGATCCCTGTCACTCTAGCACTGATGGCTGCTCACAATTAGATCTCTGCCTCTTGAATGCCACTTGTACATTTCCAGTCAGCCATTTTAGTGTTTATCATTAAAATCTTGTTGGAAAAAAAATGCCTTCAAGCTTGGACTTCCTATTCCTATCAGTACTTTTCATATTACTGTTTTACCTCAGATTTATATACGGGCTGAGGAGATGTCTAAGTGAATAACAATACTTGTTATACAAGCATGAAGACCCAAGCTAGAATTCCCGGCACCCACATAAAACCGAGGCATTACTGCATGTACTTGTAACGCCATTACAGTATAACAGGTCTGCTGAGCACCTACCTAACTCTAGGTCGAGTCAGAGACCCTGTCTCAGAGGACTAAGATGGAGAGTGATAGAGCCGGACATCTGAATCCTTCTCTGAGTTTTGCAGATCTGCATGGACACCAGAAAGCACAAGCATAAATGTGTTCATACACCACAAACTTATACAGATAAATATAGTATCAAATTATACATGTGCTCACACACACATTCCAGATTTCCATCTTATATTATGTGTTTCTTGATCTTAAAAATTTTGCTTTGGATCATATATGTCTTGAACTGTATTTGGAAATACATTGCTAGATATTTAAGAAAGCTGTTTAAATAAAAATAAACTTTGTTCTTATGCATGAAACTAAAAATGGGACAGAATGCACCCAGGTCCCACTGGCTGGAAGGATTGGGAACATAGTAAGTAGTTATAAAGTTCCACTTTTATTTGACTTGGTTCATAGTAATGTCACATAAAACAAAGCTCCTAGATATTTATATTTCATTAGTTAAGAATTAGTAACTCAGGCTAGAGAAATGGCTTAGCAGTTAAGAGCACTTGCAGCTCTTCAGAGGTCTTAAGTTTAATTCCCAGCACTCAAATAGTGGTTCACAACCATTTGTGTTGTGTCTCCAGTTCCAGAGGATCCTGTGCCTTCTTTATGGCTGCTGTAGGTATCCAGCACTCATGTGGTGTACATACATTCATAGAGGAAAATCTCTTATACACATAAAGTAAAATCTAAGCCAGGCCATGGTGGCGCACGCCCTTAATTCCAGCACTTGGGAGGGAGGCAGACAGATCTCTGTGAGTTCCAGGCCAGCATGATCCAGGCCAGCCAAAGACAGAGAACTCCTGTCTTGAAAAAGAAACATACATACATACATACATACATACATTTTTCTAAAAGACTTTTAAACTTGGAAAACGAGATAGTAACTCAAACTAATTGTCCATTTTTTCATTTTTTTGTTTCTTTGTTTTGTGAGACAAGGTTTCTCAGTAGCTATGGAGCTAGTCCCGGAATTCACTCTATAGACCAGGCTGACCTCAAACTCACAGAGATCCACCTGCCTCTGCCTCCTGAGTGCTTTATTTTAATTCACTTATTTGACTTTTTATCTCCAAGTAAAAAAGTTTTGTAGTTGGATAAACAAGTTTTATTGTTGACTTCAGTGGGGTTTTCTTGTATTATGGATTTTGTTGTTATTGTTTTGTTTGTCTGTTTGTTTGAAGCAGGACCCCACTATGCAATCCAGAATTGCTGTAATTTGCTGTGTAGCCCATACTGGTCTTTAGAGGTCCCCTGCCTACACCTCCCAGATGCTAGAATTGCAGGCATATGTCACTGTCTTTCTTTCACTCCATGTTGTTCTTTAATGAAAAAGACCTTTCCAGGTTGCTAATATTTCATAGGTTTAATTGTTAAATTACTTCTTCAGTAGTACATCAGACTCGGGTTACTAAAATGAGTTATTTTAACATCTTTAATATGGCTTAAGAGTTTTGTCTGTTTAAATTTTATTTGTACAAAGCTCCTCATGATGTGTGGAGGAGTGGGGATAAGTTTGTCAGTTTCAGTATCTTGAGTGGTTTCTAGAAAACAGGACATTTTTCTTGAAATTTCTTTCTCAATGAATCCAAGATTCCTAGTTCATATATCCTTTTATTCCTGAAGGAGACATTTTAGATGAATCTGACTATGGTGTTTTTCTAAAGTAAACTTTGGCACCATTTCTCACCATTCTTGTTCATTTTGTCCCTGCTACTCTCCATTGCTGCCACCCTTCTTCCCTTGTGGTCCAAAGCATCATGAGGCTGGTAGAAGAGAGGCAGGAGAGCACCTTCCGGAGTCTCCAGTGACTCACTGGACTATCCAAGTGCTAGAATACCCACTCCCCGAGTTAGGGTGTGCTGGGGGTGGAGGATGTAGGAGGAGGGACAGGAGAGACATGCTTTTGTGCCTTTATCTAGTTCCAGTATAAGCAAAGGATAAGAAAATTTGTGCCAAAATAAAATAGCCAAGTAGATCTAGGTACAGATAATAATGTAGAAGTTGCATTGCAGGGGTGGGGTAACCTTTGTAAGTGAGTTAGTGGTAAAAGTTCTTTCTTAGTTTTATTAGTATATAAGTTGTAACTTTTTGTTTTGACTTAATTTTAAATCTGTTTACAGAAAGCAAAGATCCTTTTGCTGTGGGTTTGTGTTGGGAATATTTTCTTAATATTGTTTATTTTTTAGCCTTTCTTTGTAAAGATTTTTTTTTAATGAGTGCATGTTTGCCTGAATGTGTATATATGTGGACCATGTGCATATCTGATGCTAGTGAAGTATGTGTTGGGATTTCTCCTGCTCTGAACAGTAATGAGCCATCACTAACCATGTGGGTACTGGCAACCAAACCTAAATCTTCTGAAAGAGCAGTAGGTGCTCCTAACTGCTAAACCATTTCTTGTTTTATTTTCAGCTTTTAAAACAAGGTTACACTTTGTAACCTCTGGTGACCTAGAATTCACTGTAGCTCAAGCTAGTTTTAAACTCACAGCAGTCATTTTGCCTCACTCGTGAAAGTGCTGGAATTACAGGCATGAGCCAGCATGCCTACATTATTTTTTAATTTTTATAGAGATGTCTTTCTTTTTTCATGCTGAGATATTTCATGGAGAAATGCTATTTTTTTATTTTATGTATGTGCATTGGTGTTTTGACTGCATGTATGTCTGTGTGAGGGTGTCAGAAACCCTGCAACTGAAGCTACAGACAGGTATGAGCTGCCATATGGGTGCTGGGAATTAAACACGTGTCCTCTGGAAGAACAACCAGTCCTCTTAATCTCTGAGCCATCTCTCCAGCCCCAGAAATACTATTTTTATATGGTCATTGATTAATGTTTAAGTATTTCTTAGAGGTATTTTATCAGTAAACTTTTCTTTAAGGCCTGTACTTTTGTGTTGCAAGATAGGTCTTCATTGCAGTGAAGGAAAAAGGAAAGGCAGTAAGATTGGGTTAACTGAGTGAGACTATTTTGCTCTTACAAGAGAAAAGGTAGGACTGAGTATATATTATATTGGTTTGTTTATTCTCTTTTCTCTTGCGAAAGCCTGTCTTCTGAGGTTATAAGTTGCTCGCTAAAATTACTGTTTTTTTGCCAGGTGGTGGCAATGCATGCCTTTAATCCCAGCACTCAGGAGGCAGAGGCAGGTGGAGCGCTGTGAGTTCAAGGCCAGCCTGGTCTACAAGAGCTAGTTCCAGGACAGGCTCCAAAGCTACAGAGAAACCCTGTCTCGAAAAACCAAAACAAAACAAAAAAAAAATTTTAAAAAGTTTTTTAAAATAGTTCAGTATATTGAAGGAACCAATATTGATACTGTTATTGGTAATTCTTACATAAAAAGAAAGCAGTAACATAAGAATATTTTTAAATTAGTAAAATCACCAGAGATGTAATACTTTTATTTTAAAAGTAGGGGGGCTGAGCTGGAGAGATGGCCTAGTGGTTTAAGAGGACCGGAGTTCAATTCCTAGCACCCATGTGGTTGCTCATAACTACCTGTAACTCCAGTTCCAGGGGACCTGATGCCCTTTTCTAGGTTCCTTAAACACCAGACACATCTTTATACATAAAACCTATATACATAAAATAACAAAATAAAGTTTTTCGAAAGGCAAACTTGAATTTTTTTATTTTTTATTTATTTTATTTATTTATTATTTTTTTTGGTTTTTCGGTTTTTCAAGACAGGGTTTCTCTGTGGCTTTGGAGCCTGTCCTGGAACTAGCTCTTGTAGACCAGGTTGACCTCAAACTCACAAAGATCAGCCTGCCCCTGCCTCCCGAGTGCTGGGATTAAAGGTGTGCGCCACAACCACCCAGACGAAATTTCTTAATTACAGAAAATAAAATGGGTCACAGTAAATCTGTAAAATACATAGCTAGCAAAATGGCTCATTGGGTAAAGCCTGGAACCTGAATTTGATCCCTGGGACTCACATAGTTAAGGACAGACTCGACTCTCACAAGTTGCCCCCTCTTAACACAAGCATACACAGAAAAGCAAAGCACACAGTTAATGAAATGTAACCATTAAAGCATGAGAAATAAGGAAGGTTTTTAATCAGTGAACCCTTAACATTTGCTGTATTTTATATACATAAATGGTTTCATATATATGATCATACTGTATATACCTTTCTATTCAGATTTTAAAAATAACTAATATTTTCCTTCTTTGAATTTATATTAAAAGATAACATGTGTGATTATAAAGACTAAATATTATTAGGGAATGTGAAATTCTAGATTTTTGTTTGGGTTATGGAGAAAGAAATTGGACCGATGGGGATAGATCCATGTGGTGCTGGCTGTCCTGTCAGTCACTGTGTAAACCAGGTTGCTGAGATGATAGAACATGACCAAAAAACAAGTGGGAGAGGGTTGTTTTACTTACACTTCCACATCATACTTCATCATGGAAGGAAGTCAGGATAGGAACTCAACCAGGTCGGGAACCTGGAGGCAAGAGTTGATGCAGAGGCCCATGGAAGAGGGATGCTTACTGACTTGCTCCTCATGGCTTGCTCAGTCTGCTTTCTTAGAGAACTCAGGACCACCAGCCCAGGGATTGCACCACCCACCATGGGCTGGGCCCTCTAGCATCAATTACTAATTTAAAAAAAGTGCCCTACAGCTGCATATTATGACAATATTTTCTCAATTGAGCTTCCCTCCTTTCAGATGACGTTAGCTTCTGTCAAGTTGATATAAAATTAGCCAGCACACCAGGCTGCCCTCAAAGTCACAGAGATCTGCCTGCCTCTGCCTCTGGAGTACTGGAATTAAAGAAGGTGTATGCCATCACACCCAGCTGACAGTTGTTTTTTGGGTTTTTTGTTGTTGTTGTTTATTTTATTTTATTTTATTTTATTTGGAGTGGCTGAGGTGCTAAAAATACATGCAAAGGTAGCTCAGTGGAAGCAGTATGCCCCATTGGAAGGTAGCTGTTTGAAAGAGACGAAGGGGATTTGCTGGCAGGCTAGAGACAAAAAGAGAAAGAGTGGAAGAAGAAGTCATGGTTTTGACCAGAAGATAGAGGCTAACACAGATGTGGGGAAATGGTACGCCTCTGTTTTGACATGTTAGAGAAGTCAGACAGACATCCAAGGACAGATCTAAGTAAGCAAACTAAATATCCAAATCTTCAAGAGGTTACTTGCTGTGGAATAATCCCTTTATATACTGTGAATATGTATTCTCGTTGTTTATTAAAAAGTTGTCAGGCCGATAGCCAAGCAAAAGGTGTAGGTGAGACAATCAAATGGAGGATACTGGGATGAAGAAGGGCAAAGTCAGGGTGAGACACCAACCAGCCTTCAGGGAAGCAGTACACGTAGAAAATAAGGTAACAAGCCATGAGCCATGTGGTGGGGCATAGATAAGAAATATGGGTGAATTTAAGTGTAAGAGTGGGCTAGTAACAAGCCTGTGCTATCAGTCAAGCATTAATAAGTAACATTAAGCCTCTGAGTGATCACATGGGAACTGCTGGGTGGGAGATTACTCAACCACTACGTCTGACTACGATTACTTGAAGAGTATGTAAAATTGAAAGCTTTAGCCCCCAATAAAAAATATGTAATAAAACAAGATTTGGTTTTCCCTTAAAATAGGCTTAAAAATTCACCTCTCTATACCCTCAAAAAGATAAATGTCTGCGTTTTCTTGTGTTTTAGGATCTTCAAGATGAAGTTCAAAGGGAGAGTGTTAACCTGCAAAAACTACAGGCCCAGAAGCAGCAGGTGCAGGAACTCCTTGATGAGCTGGATGAGCAGAAAGCCCAGCTGGAAGAGCAGCTCAAGGAAGTTAGGAAAAAGTGTGCTGAGGAGGCCCAGCTGGTAAAACCTGGCTGTTTACTGACTCTCTGCTTCCATTGCTTTCCTGGTTACAAAGAAAGCATCCCCTCCTTGTTAGCAGCAGTCTCGTCTGCAGTTACTTGATGAAAGAGTTGGAGTTACTGTTCTTTGTAGTAGAAATTAGAGGGGCGCTGTTTTTCCAGATCCTGATCACATGAGACTTCTGCCTCCAAGTTTCTTTTAGCCCCTTCTGCTACCAAAAGAATACATCAAAAATTTCAAACCACGAAACTAGATATCCCTTCACTTAATTACCTTTCCTCTCATTTATCTCCACTTGTAGATCTCTTCCCTGAAAGCTGAAATAACTAGTCAAGAATCTCAGATCTCCACTTATGAGGAAGAGCTGTCAAAAGCTAGAGAAGAACTAAGTCGCCTACAGCAAGAAACAGCACAATTGGAAGAGAGTGTAGAGTCAGGAAAGGCTCAGCTGGAACCTCTTCAGCAGCACCTACAGGAATCACAACAGGAGATCAGTTCAGTAAGTGGAAGCAAACAGCATGCCTGGAGGACCCTTGTCTGTCCTTTTTGTACTATCTGACTTCTTTACCTGCCTCCTGATTCTCTTAGTGATTTAATACTTACAGTTGCCAGTTGCACAGCTGATGGTCATTCACATAATGGAGTAGAGTATGGGCTTTGGAGTTAGTTAAGCTGTTCAGATTTAAATGCTGGTTCTGCCATTTATTAGACAAATCACCTTTGAATATCAGATTTTTCATCTTTAAAGTTGAAGATTTAACAATACTTCTACCTATTAGTGCTATTATAAGGATTAAATGAGGCAAAAGATGAGGTAGTTTAACATAGTGTCTGACACATAAATTCTCAGTAAATATTGTCTGACATGTATTTTTGTTATTAGTTTTTAAAGATTTATCTGTTTATTGTATATACAGTGTTCTGTCTGCATGTGTTCTAACTTGCCAAAAGAGTGTACCATATCTCATTATATATAGATGGTTGTGAGACACCACATGGTTGCTGGGAATTGAACTCAGGACCTCAGGAAGAGCAGCCAGTGCTCTGAGCCATTTCTCCAGCCCTCTCTTGTTTTATGTCAGTGTGACACAAGCCAGCGTCATCGGGGAGGAGTAGCCTCCTTTGAGAAAATGCTTCCATAAGATGGACTGTGGGCAAGCCTATCAGGCATTTTTTTCTAGATTGATGGGGGAGGGCCCAGCCCATGGTGGGTGGTGCCATTCCTGGGTTTGTAGTCCTGAGTTCTATAAGAAAGCAGGCTGAGCAAGCCATGAGGAGCAAGTCAGTAAGCAGCACTCCTCCATGGCCTCTGCATCAACTCTTGCCTCCAGGTTCCTAACCTGGTTGAGTCCCTATCCTGACTTCCTTCCATGATGAAGAGTGATGTGGAAGTGTAAGCCCTTTCCTCCCTGATCATGGTGTATCATCATAGCAGTGATAACCCTCACTAGATTGAAACATCTTGTCTTTTCTTGGGTTTCTGATTGTTAGATCAGTTTTGCTCATTGAAATAATTTAGTTTTCTTGTTTCTACTTTTTATATATTACTTATATATAATAACATAAAATTATATATTTTTATAATTTTAAATGTAAATATATAAAAATAAACATAAAAATCTATTATTTAATCTATTATAATTGAATTCTTCCTTTTATGTCCCACTGTGGAATTCATTTGAATAGTTGAGGCCAAAACAGCCTTATGCTTTGTTTAATGAACTTTGTGTGACTCAATATTGAAGATACTTTCTAGGACTCTTTTTTCCCTTTAACAGATAGTGCCAGAACACAGGGCATTCACTTGCCTTACCCTTACCTTCTTTAACTTCTTTCTTGTAGCTCCCCTACAGCTTTATTGCTGAATCTTCATCCTCTCTGTTACTTGGCTATCTTTTTCTCTGGTATCCTGGGTCTGTCTTTTTCTAATTATACCCTGAAAGACTGCCAGTTCTCAGATACTGAGACAGAATTCTTGGAGATTTCACAAGACTTACAAAACAAATACATGCCTGCTGAAATTGCAGGAGGACTCATTGGGAAAGATTATTGAAATATTTAAGTCATACTTCATTCCCAGAGGATTCTCCTAATAGAAAGCAAACTCATCCTTGAGTAAGTCTAGGGGCATACCTCTTTGTATGATACATATACTTCTAATATTAAATTGTTTTGTATTTCTGCTTTGTATTGGCAGATGCAGATGAGACTGATGGAAATGAAAGATCTGGAAAATCATAATGACCAATCAGATTGGCGCAGTAGCCCACAAAGCATTCTTGTAAATGGTGCTACAGATTATTGTAGCCTCAGCACCAGCAGCAGTGAAACAGCCAACCTGAATGAACATGCTGAAGGCCAGAACAATCTAGAGTCTGAGCCCATACACCAGGAGTCATCAGTGAGTCTTTATTCCATAGTCTTCATAATTAACGTCCGACACACACACACACACACACACACACACACACACGAGAGAGACTGATGAAGATCAAAGTTTGTGTGAATATACTTATGCACATGTTTAGAGACCAGAGGTCTTCAAAGTGTTATTCCTCAGATCCTTTTTTTTTTTTTTTTTTTGGTACGCGATCTCTCACTGAGATCTGATCTTCACTGATTAGATTGGGCTGGCTGGCCAGCAAGCCCTAGGAATCTATCTACACCTCCCTTGTCTTGGGATTCCAAGCCCACACCAACATGCTTGGCTTGGAATACATCCACATGGATGCTGGAGATCTGAACTCAGGTCCTCATGCTTGAATAACAAATACTTTATCCATTCGGATAGCTTCCTAGCCCCATATCCAAGTTTTGTTAGCTAGCATTATGTATAATACAAAGAATGACAATTTTTTAAAGATATTTTTAATTTTTATTTATCTATATGTGTTCACCTGCCCACGGAAACTGGAAGAGGGTGTCAGATCCTTGGAGCAGGAGTTAACAGGCAGTTTAAGCTGTCTGGTGTGGGTGCTGGGACTCGAACTTGGGTCCTCTGGAAGAACAACTAGTGTTCTTAATTCTTAAGCCATCCCTTTAGCCCCAACAATTGAAATTCTTTCTTTTCAGGTTTTTTCTTTTTGGTTTGCTTGTTTGTTTTTTGTTTTGTTTATTGAGAAAGGGTTTCTCTGTGTAGCTCTGGCTGTCCTGAAACTCACTCTGGCTGGCCTCAAGCTCTGGGATCTGCCTGCCTCTGCCTCCTAAGTACTGGGTTTAGAGGTGTGTGCCACCATACCCAGCTTCTTTTCAGTTTTAACTAATGTTCAAATTATTCTAATTAATAGAATTAAAGATTTTTTTAAATGCTATGGTGTTATCATACTGGCCACAAACTTAGTATGAAGCTAAGGATGGTGTTAAGCTCTTTTTTAATTTGATGTGTCTGTGGGGTAGTGTTAACTAGTGTGTTCACCTGTGATTGCATTCATCCATGTGTGCAAGTGTGGAGGCCAGAGTTCATTTCTGGTCTTCTGATGCCACTCTCTACCTTAGTTTTTGAGACAGGGTCTCCTCACTGAAAATAGAGCTTGCTGTTTTAGTTATATCAGTGGTGTCTACCTGTGTCTGCCATCCCAGCATTGGGGCTACTGTTAAACACCACCATTCCTGGCTTTTATTTGGGTGCTCTGAACCTGAACTGAGTTAGTTCTTGATGTTTGTGCATTAAGCACTCTACCCATTTATTATTTATATATTCCTAAATATATAAATACCACTTGCTCAGTCCATATAATGTTACTTGTATGTGTTATGAGTTCAGAGCTTACCACTTAACATTGAATATGAAAAGGTTTTTAAAGGGGCTAGGCATGTAGCATAGTAGCAAATAGTTTTCATAATATGCAAGAGGCCCTGGATTTAATCCCCAATACCAAAATAAATTTTTTTTAATATTTTTATTTATTTATTTATTATGTATACAGTGTTCTGTCTGCATGTATGCCTGCAGGCCAGAAGAGGGCACCAGATCTCATTACAGATGGTTGTGAGCCACCATGTGATTGCTGGGTATTGAACTCAGGACCTCTGGAAGAGCAGTCAGTGCTCTTAACCTCTGAGCCATCTCTCCAGCCCCCCAAAATAAATTTTAAAACACCTGTATATGTACAGTTTTTAAAATACACACCTTTACATCCCAGCACTCAGGAGTCACATTGAGCCTCTGTGAGTTTGAGGTCAGTCTGGTTTTATAGTGAGTTCCAGGCCAGTGAGTACCACACAGTAAGACCCTTTTTCTCTCTCTCTCTCTCTCTCTCTCTCTCTCTCTCTCTCTCTCTCTCTCTCAAAATAAAAAATAAAAAGTTGTTAAAATAATCTTACCCAATTATGGGGGCAGGGGGCCAGTATTGATATTCCACAATATTCTGTGGAATCTAGACAAAGACTAGCAGGAGTTGGTTTCCACTTCTTCTAAGTGAGTCCCAAACAGAGGTTGTTGGGCTTCACAGCAACAAGCCACCTCACCAGCCTGAGACAAAAGATTCTTAAACCTTCATACTCACATATGTATTTTTGGTAGGTGAGAAGTAGTCCTGAAATAGCACCTTCTGATGTGACTGATGAAAACGAAGTTGTGACTGCAGCTGGTAATGAAAAAGTTAGTCCCAGATTTGATGATGACAAGCAGTCAAAAGAGGTGAAAATAATTATATATTCAATTGTTCTTGTCACTCATGTCATAAATGTTCTTTGTAGCTCAAGAATATTTACTGAGTTTTCAAAGTTTGTATATGATCTAAATGTGTGTTACTTGAAGTATTATCTTTTAAATGTTTGGTTACTAAAAGATCTGTTTTAATTTAAAATTATTTCTAGGAAGATCCATTTAATATAGAATCAAGTTCACTGACAGATCCAGTTGCAGATACAAACTTGGATTTTTTCCAGTCCGATCCTTTTGTTGGCAGTAAGTATCTTTCTTTTATAAGTGTGTTCAAAATAAGACTTTCTGGTGTATAAACTATATAAGCATTGAGGCTTCAATTTTGAAAGTTTTTTTTAATTGTTTTTATTGAGCTATATATTTTTCTCTGCTCTCCTCCCTTCCTCCCCCTTCTCCTTCTACCCTCTCCTATGATCCCCACACTCCCAATTTGCTTAGGAGAGCTTGTCTTTTTCTACTTCCTATGTAGATTAGATCCATGTATATCTTTTTTTGTAAATATTTTTATGGTTTATTTAACTTTATTTTATGTGTGTTAGTGTGAAGGTGTCAGATTCCCCTGGAACTAGGTCTTCAGACAGTGGGTGCTAGGAACTGAACCCAGGTCCTCTGGAAGAGCAGTCAGTACTCTTAACCACTGAGCCATCTCTCCAGCCCTATGTATATTTCTAGAACTATCTTGTTAAGTAAAGTGAGCTTGGTGTCATGGTTGTATGCTTTTAATTCTAGCCCTTGGTAAGCAGAAGTGTGAGGTTTGAAGCCAGTCTGATCTACATAGCTAGTTCCAGCCAGGGCTACATAGTGAGCCCTAAGCTCAAACAAAAAAGGGACTGGAGATGGTTCAGCAATAAAGACCACTTACTGCTCTTGTAGAGGACTTGTATTCAGTCCCCAACACACACATGGCATCTTACAACCATCTGTAACTCTAGTTCCAGAGGATCTGATACCCAGTTTTATCTTTCTTTGGCATCAGACATGCGTATGGTGGTACATAGACATGCGAGCAAAACACTTATACACCTAAAAGAAAAGTAAATCGGGCTGGAGAATGGCTCAGAGGTTAAGAGCGAGCACTGGCTCTTCTTCCAGAGATCCTGAGTTCAATTCCCAGCAACCACATGGTGGCTCACAACAATTGGATCTGGTGCCCTCTTATGGCCTGCAGGGATACATGCAGGCAGAACACTGAATACATAATAAATGAATGAATGAATGATCTTTTTAAAAAATAATAATTAAAGAAAACTAAATCAAATATATACAAACAAGCAAAAAACAAAAGATGAAACTAAGACAGGCAAAATAACTTACCTAATAGTCATGGCAGAAATGAGCCCAAATATTTGAACTCTTTAAATAAACAAACTGTAAAATAAAACAAAAACAAGATAGTTTTTGAAATGTTTAAAGCACCAAGAATAAACTTAAGTTTTATACTTAAAATATATAGAGCTTGGGCTGAAGAGATGGCTCAAAGATTAAGAGAGGTGGCTGCTCTTCCAGAGGTCTTGAGTTCAATTCCCAGCCACCACATTTGTGGCTTACAACTTCTTTAATGAGATCTGATGCCTTGTTCTGGCCTGCAGGCATATGTGCAGGCAGAACACTGCATACATAATAAATAAATTTTTTAAAACTAATATATACACATATATATGTGTATATATTTCTCTATATGGACATATATAGAGATGTGTGTACACATACATATACATATATATGTGTGTGTGTATTTATTGTGTGTGTGTGTATATATATATATATATATATATATATATATATAAAGAGAGAGAGCGAGAGAGAGAGAACACGCTGAGGTTGTGGCTCAGCAGTACTTGTCTAGCAGGCATGATCCTTAGAAGAACATTTACAGTTTTATAATCTTCACAACAATCTTATTTTGGAACAGTTTAGCACTTTCCCCCACCTCAACTCCAACCTCATTTTAAAATGGGCATAATTATTTAAATAACTTTCTCCAAAATGTATATGCAAATAACCAATAAGCATATAGAAAGATTTTCAACATTAGTCAAACCCCATGAGATACTACTTCATATACTAGGATGGCTGTAATCAAAAGATGGATGATAACAAATATCAGTGAGGATGTATAGAAATTAAAACCACAATACACTACTGGTGGGAATATTAAATGATTTTTTTGTCTTTGGAAAATGGTCTGGAAATTTCTATGCCAATAATTAAACAAAATTATTGTAAGACCTGATATGTAATCAGGAGGAATAGACGTACACCCACATTAAACCTTGTATGTCTTTTGCTTGCTTTCCCCCCCACTCCCCTTCCCTCTTTTTAAGAGACAGACTTTCTCCTTGTAGCCATGGCTGTCCTGGAACTCTGTAGGCCAGGCTGTAAAAACATATATGTTGATGTTGAGCAGTCCATCATTTTTTTCTCCTTTGCAATTAGTCTTGTCTTTTTTCCTAATGTATGTGAACATTATGTATGTATGTGAATGTATGAGTTCAGAAGCCAGAGGCATTGGAGCCCTCTCGAGTTGGAGTTGCAGGCAGTTGTAAGGTGCCCAATTTTGGTGCTAGGAATTGCTCCTTGGCAAGAACAGTATACACTCTTAAATCCTAAGCCATCTCTCTAGCCCCGTTTGTCTTTTTATTGTTGATTTATAATAGCTTTTTACATGTTCTAAATAAAACTCTCTGATGTATGATCTGAAAATATTGTGTGTGTGTGTGTGTGTGTGTAGACAGTTTCTCTTTCTGTAGCTCAGGCTGCCTGAAACTAGTGACAGTTTTCTTGCCTCATCCTCCTGAGTGTTTATTATAGGCATGAGCATTTATACTCCTGTTTTTCTTCCAAGAATTTTATAGCTGTTATATCTAGAACTTTGAGGCTGAAGGAATGGCTTAATGATTAAGAACACTTGCTGCTTTCCCATAGGACCTGAATTCAGTGCCCAGCACCTATATCAGATAGCTCTCTCCAGGAATTCGATGCCCTCTGGCCTCTATGGGCACATGCACACATGTATGCTTGCTCACGTACACACACATACACACAGAGATTATCGATTTTTAGAGCTTTGATTTAGTTAATTCTATATCTAGTATGAGGTAAAGATCTTTCCTGATAGCTGGGTGGTAGTAGTGCATGCCTTTAATACCAACACTTGAGAGGCAGAGGCAGGCGGATCTCTGAGTTCAAGGCTAGCCTGGTCTACAAGAGCTAGTATCAAAACAGCCAGGGCTGTTACATAGAGAACCCCTGTCTTGAAACGCCAATCCCCCTCCAAAAATGAAAGAAAGAAATCTTTTCTGTTGTCCAAATACTTTTTGTTTTGTTTTGTTTTGAGACAGGATATCCTGTAGTCTAGGCTGGCCTCAGACTCCCTATATAACTACTGATCCTCCTGCCTCCACATCCAAATGCTGGGATTATTATGTATACCATCACACCAGACGTATGGAGTTCTGGGGATGAAGCTCAGGACTTGGTTCTACTGGGGAAGAACTCAGCTAATCTGGCTTCATCCCCAGCATCCAAATGCCGTTGGTTGAAAAAACCATCCTTTCACTCTTTCTGCATCATGTGTTCTTGATATTCTTGTCAAAATTCAAGTGACCGTAACTTTGAGAATTTATCTCTGTCTTCTTCAGTTTATGAGGGTTTTTTGTTTGTTTTGTTGTTTTTGCCTTAGTCCTTTATTTCATGAAGTACTAAGGGTAATATCTACCTAGTAACCAGGAGTAGAGATTTTGTTGGTAAAACTTTACTTTTGTGTCTCTGTCTATAGCCTCTTTCAGTCTTTGTTTTACTCCCTGTAACCTCTTTTGGCAAAGGGTAAGTTTATTTGGTTCTTACATTAGTTACTCTTCTGTTGTTGTGATAGACACCATGACCAAGACCTCTTATGGAAGAAAGAGTTGACTTGGTTTACAGTTCCAGAGGGTTGGAGGCTATAATGGCAGGGACAGCATGGCAGCAGGCACGACAGCTGGAGCAGGAAGCAGAGAGCTTCAAGGTCTTTGAACTCTCAGAGCATGCCTGCTGTGACACACTTCTTCTAACAAGGCCGTACTTAACCTAAACCTCCCCAGTGACACCAACTAGGAACCAAGAGATCAAATGCCAGAGACTATGGAGTACTTTTTCATTTAAATCACCATAGTTCTAGTGGTTACTAAACTACATAGTTCTAGTGGTCACCAAAGTTAGCCTTTTTATATGAGGTGTATTGAATCATCATTTACTTTTTTATTATTTTAAATCTTTCCTAAAGTGAATAACATAATTTTGTTTACTTTGAAGTAGAATTATTGAATCTATTAAGTATTGTTTAACTTAAGAAACTTTGTTTTAAAAACACTCTTCTCAACAATAATACATAATAATTTTTGTGTGTATGTTTTTTGTTTTTTGAGACAGGGTTTCTCTGTGTAGTCTTGGCTTTCCTGTAGGACCAGGCTATCCTCATACTCACAGAGATCCACATGCCTCTGCCTCCTAAATGCTGGGATTAAAGTGCGCCACCACTGACTGACTGTATTTTCATCTTTGTTTACTTCTTTTGTCACAGGTGATCCTTTCAAGGATGATCCTTTTGGAAAAATTGGTCAGTATATTTTTTTTAGTTTCTTCTTTAATTCTTTTCTGCTTAACTATAACCTTTTACTGTAGTTTGAGACAAGAACATACAGCTTGGGTGGTCCTAGGAGGGGAACTCCTTTTTATTAAAACCACTCTAAAGTCAAGGCAAGATGCTAAAATATTTAGAGAGTGATTAGAGCCTTGTGAGTGTGCGTGTATGTGTGTGCACGTGTGATTAAGCTTTGCACATGCTAGGCAAGTACTCTACTACTCCAACCCAAGCCTCACCTTTTTTTTTTTTTTTTTTTT